GGTCAATTCGAAAAGGCACGCCTTGTCGCTGATCGCCGTGGCGATTTTGTCGAAAATACTGCGCTAAGTGGTGAGGAAATCCAAGCTATTGGTCAGGCTGTTGCTGCTCAAAGCCGTGGTGGAAACTTTGCCATGTCACGTGGAAACGCAACCTCGAGCTACTCTGGTACTGGAGCAAGGGAAACTCCGATTCATGTGGTTGTCGATGAATCTATCGGTGGAACAATCTTTAAGTGGATCAAGTTCTTGTTTTACTTTGGGCTAACAGCTTACTTTCTCCTCGTCTTCCTTACTTTGGCTATTGAAGCTACGGGGATGATGAAGAAGGTTGCTGGAACTAACTCAAACGAAGCACAAGCTGCTCAACAAACCGCCCGTTTCAGTGATGTACATGGCTGCGATGAGGCAAAAGAGGAATTACAAGAACTTGTGGAATTTTTGAAGGACCCTACGCAATTCTCCACCCTAGGTGGTAAATTACCGAAAGGTGTCCTCCTTGTGGGCCCCCCCGGTACTGGAAAAACTCTTCTTGCTCGTGCGGTCGCCGGTGAAGCTGGGGTTCCGTTCTTCTTTATGTCTGGATCAGAATTCGACGAAGTCTATGTCGGCGTTGGCGCCAAGCGTGTTCGCGAACTATTTGCTCAAGCCCGCGCAAAAGCTCCCGCAATTGTGTTCATCGACGAGCTCGACGCAATAGGTGGGAAACGTAATGAACGCGACGCAGCATATGTTAAACAGACTCTCAACCAGCTTCTAGTAGACCTCGATGGATTCTCACAAAATAGTGGTGTCATTTTCCTGGCCGCTACTAATTTCCCTCAATTACTCGACAAGGCACTTACCCGACCTGGCCGCTTTGACCGGAATGTTACTGTACCACTTCCCGATGTTCTTGGTAGAATTGCAATTCTAAAGCATCATACCAAATCTATCCAAGTAAACCCTTCAATCGACCTTTCCATTCTTGCCCGCGGCACTCCTGGTTTCTCTGGAGCGGAGCTGGAAAATATGTGTAACCAAGCCGCTGTTCGTGCAAGCCGCCAGAAGGCTACGAGTGTCCGAATGGAAGATTTCGACTGGGCAAAGGATAGAATCATGATGGGTGCGGAGCGACGTTCTGCGGTTATTCCGCTCGAAGAGCGCAAAATGACGGCTTATCATGAGGGAGGACACGCCCTCGTTGGGATGTTCACTGAGGGTCACATGCCGGTCTACAAGGTAACCATCATGCCGCGTGGGCAAGCACTCGGTGTTACACATTTCTTGCCAGAAGGGGACAAATATAGCTGGAGTAAAAAGCAGATATTGGCGCATATTGATAGTTCCTTGGGTGGAAAAATTGCTGAAGAGCTTATCTACGGTACTGATGGTGTCACGGGGGGCTGTAGCTCGGTAGGTTTCTCTGGGCCCTGTTCAAATACTGGTTACTGACATATTCACCAGGATCTTATGGCAGCCACCCGCTACGCTCGTCGTATGGTGATGGAACTTGGAATGTCACCTGTTGTCGGTGATGTTAATATGACAGAAGACTACCAACACCTTTCGACAAAAACTAAAGAACTAATTGAGACGGAGGTTCGTCGTATAATCGAAGAGTCACGCGCTCGTGTAACTGTTGTCCTGAAGGAACACCGTAAAGAGCTTGATCTTCTTGCAAAGGCTCTCGTTGAGTATGAAAGTCTGAGTTATGATGAAATGAAGAAAGTCATCGCAGGCGAAACTTTACCCCATAAACTCAAAATTCTTCCAAATGTACCTATAAAATTGCCAGAGACCGGGGGGACCTTTGCTCCGCCACTTGAAGGGAATGGAGCGGCGGCAAAGAACGGGGAGAAGGAATTTTAGAATGAACCTCTGAGAATGCAGTTACGAAGTCAAGTTTAATTCGGACTGAAGGTTTCTGTGGAGGTGGAATATATGTTTGGGGCTTTTCTTTTTGTTCCTTCCTTATCCGTTTTTACATTGACATAGCATGGAATGGATCGGTGTATTATGTATTTGGTTTTCTTTTAAAACCCACTTTTCCTCTGGTTTCCCCCCCTCTTCTCTTTTTTTCATTTTGTGTGTACTGGTCCGGTATGGTTCTGGTGTGGTTTCTTATCTTGCTTTTATTGTACCCCTGATAGAGCGCCTTGGATGTAGGCAAACTTGGAAGGAAAGGAAAATCTCCTCTCAAGTTCTTATCCATGTTTTCTTCTCCCGTATTTCCAAAAAACGCGCGTTTCTTTTTTTCTTCATTTTTTATGCTTGCCTGAATCACCGATGGCGTTACTCGCGGGTTGGACTAATATGGATGGATGGGTGGGTGATGTGAATGGCGACGTGAGTGCAGCTACGGAAGAGCAAAGAATGGGGCACTGCATAGATCCTTGATTGAATCTATCTAATTCGCATGTATGTACTTTAAGAAACAATGACAATCCTGAACTACAAAGAAGCTCCTAATTCAAGTAAAGAAATTAAACTACATGTATGTGTGGCCTCCAACGGGTCTAGATTCTCTGCATTTTACTACATATAGTACATGTAGTGCTTGGGTATTGTCTCTTGTGATAGCAACCAGCGACCTTGCCATTTCCTTAGGCCCATCAACCACCACCATAGCCATTGCCCCAAGCCAAAAAGATTATGACTTTAATACACTTTGTTATGCTTTATAAGGTCTCATGATTAGCGCGGTTGTACAATTGCCAGCGCGGTTGGGACAATACTTAATTTCATCCCAAGTCTTTGCGCTTGAGTACATGTATCCAGAATTTGGGTCGCGTGGTGGTCGGAACGATAGAAGGTGAGATAGAAGGTGGCAATCCCATTGATTCCACTACAGTCATTCACGGGGTGAGAAAGAACACCGGTGTAGACGGACAGGGAATTTTTGACAAACAGAAAAGATCAGAAAAGATCACTTTCTCAGTTTCACCCAGTACTTTATTCGTGAGCTGTACCCTATGTACCCTCTGTGGACTACACGCGACCAAATTTCTACACGACCTTGCGAGTACATATGCATGTATGTACATGTATGTTGCCTTTGCCGGAAAGGAATCTTTATGACATAATCACCAACTCGTGAATACCGAGTGAGATTACATGACTTCAATGTGAGAGTCATAAGCTACTCTCTTCCATGATCACGATACTTCCCCCTTTCTAACTTGCTTAATCCTGCCTTTCATTATTCTATGGATCTTTATAAATATCGAATTTTCAATAAATGTAAGTGTCCCAGTACCCTGAAGGCAGTAATTAGTATGTACGTAGGACGTTGAAACAAGGTTTGGAGGCTGAAACGTCAGACTGCATTGGGCGGCTATGGTAACCAAGGGTCAGTCTGTGCTCCGGGCACCTCCGGTAGCCATTATACGCCGGGTTGTGCACTACTTGTACCATCAGTTAAAAGTGCACAACTGCAAACCCTGAATCCTTCACTCCAGTCGTAATTTTTTTTTTTTGTTCAACTCAGCTCCAGTCGTAATTCATAGCTATGATAAAAATCGAAAGCACTGATACACCTTATAAAATTGGGATAAACCAATTTTTGCAACGGGACAGATGGATTCCCGAATAAATTGAGCCAGTCTACATTACATCTCACGCAAATCTTGTGAAGACAAAGCTAGAAATCAAAAACCATTCGATATGTATATCGCCAGATGTTCTATTCTAGCTACACAGTAAACGAGGAAAACTTATAACCCTAAAATGGGATTAATAGCATATGCTAACCTTATACATATGTATCCGTCAATTCGCGTATGTGATGTGAAGTATTAAGTAGTTGACCCAACTCACCGCAAGCAAGTACTTCATAATATATTGATCGTTAGTAGTGATTGAATACATGTTGCGTTCCCGACTAGCTTCATCTAAAACCTTTGCTATATCAATCTCTCGTCTTAATTCGCACATCGAGTGATTACCCATGATCATAAGTACAGTACAGCCGCGTCCGAAAAGACCTGGCACCCCAGGCTAAACCACGAGGGAGGCTTTTCTGCTTTCTAACTCTCTTATATTCAAGGTCATAATTGGAGATAGCTTTAATATCTCCATTGTGATTATGTCTTAACCGTTATGAATGTGTGGGAGCAAATATGGTAGTTAGTAGCTACAATTAATTAACGGACTTAATATAGTAGGGTGCCAGGACTTTTCGAACGCGGCAGTACATATCATTCTTACATGTAAGAACTCAAGTTTTAAACTATATGTAAATTCCCAGGACATATTCCATTTATTGTATATACGTGCTCAAACTAGGATATCTATGTCAATGCGAATTTCATTGTTTGACAACAGAATCATAGCGGTAAATGTTGAGGCTCCCAAGAGTTCCCGTATAACGTATTTTACCGGGAAAGCGATCATCATCGGGAAAGCAACCGAACCTTACAAAAGGAGGTTGTGGGCATCAAAACACAATATATGAATGCAGGCACATATAAGAGGGTTCAGTGTATCTTTTCCGAATCCTGGAGTTATATAATGAATATAAACCAAAATTTGGTAAAGTCGATAAAGCTTACACTCCCTAACCCAGTCAACGACCTCTCTGAAACAATACTCGCTAGATAAAGGTGAATCCTATCAAAAAGTTGGGAGACATCTAAATAACACTTATGGCTACTTGGTTCCGTAACTGTATATAAATTCAACTTTCTTTAGCAACTTTGGATCATCCCGTTGTCACCCTTGATTGATTTCCCGGTGAAACACGTTATATGTATATCCCATAACCCATCTATGCTGACACCCCTCATGCGAGACCGAAAGCCACAGCAGAACTGGGTAAGAAGTCAACAAAAATCACAAAACCCATTGGCTGTAGCCACCTCGTCGCATTTTGCGAAGGGGTGTCAGCATAGTCTCGACGGTGCATGGGATACTCAGCTCCACAACATACCCATTATTAACACACGACACTTTCGAGTCTTCATATCATTGCTGCATCAATTATAAAACATTCTGATATAATTCAAAATTTGGCTTACAAATATGGTTCCATGGCTCAGTTGGTTAGCGCGTGGTGCTAATATAGAAATATGTTAACGCCAAGGTCGAGGGTTCGACCCCCTCTGGAACCACTTATCCTTCGTTTTTATTTTATTGGTTAACCTTACGTCCTACTATTTTGTGGTGTGGGTGGTTGCGCTTCCACAATTCTCTCTCGGGTTTTCGAGTGATATACTGTGTCCCTCTTAAGACATCTTTTTGAAGCTAGCTGGTAGGCCCCCACGTAGCACCATAAGTAATTCTAAGCTAGTAATAAAGAGGCTGACGCCCTAGAAGCCCCTTTGATAAGTCCTCCTTAAAAGTGGATGACTTCCTCACCGCATGTGACGACACTCTTTCTGCACTTCCCAACATCAATGAAACATCAAAAACCATCGAGCCGACTTTCCTGAGACCGCCACCGAGAAGATACTGAATGAGAAAAAAATTACATACATCTGACGTACGTAAGGACTTCATGGAGTGATCCCAGCCAGAATAATCGTGCTTCTTTTCTGATGAAAACTTAGCTGCCAAGTAATCTGTAGAAATCGGCCCTCAGAGCACAGCTCCCTAGATGATCTCTTTCCAGTTAGTACCAGGGGACATCTCTCCTTTGTCTCAGAAGCACATCTTCGTTCAGCGCCACTATTGCTATTGCGATTCCCTGCTGCGATTTCCCACGATTTCAGCCAGTGCTTCGCCCGCGTGATTTGTGAACACTGTGGCTTGGTTTCCATCTAGCGAGGCTTGAAGCTAGGACGATTCCTTGTGAGAGCTGAAAATATACATGTGTTCTGTCTCTCTACGTGAATGTGGAGTATCTATGTGAGGAACGGCACGATAACCCCCTGCGGAGGCAGTTTACATAAAGAGCATAATCGACTTTGCTGGCAACAATTCACGGGAGCTACCCTGTTCACTTATGCCGACATGGGAGTGCGGTGCGAGCTCGAGAAAATACGAGGTCTGTGCGTTTTGCCTTGGGTTTGCCTATAGGTAGGTACAATAGTCTTATGTAACCCAGGAAAACCCATTATGGCGTTGTTTTGCTACCGGAGATATATCCCCGATGTCAACGATTCTGAAATAATTGTGACCCAAGTGTTAGCTAAGTCTTTTACAGTCTTGGCCCTCCTTTGGGGAAGATTTTTAAAAAGAAGTTTTTACCGGGATGGTGATCGAGGTCTTCTGTTCCAATGTCTTTTCATTCGAGTAAGGTATCAAAGTATCTTCTAGATCTACCGGGCCGGGTTTCTCTCTTTCTACTTCTCTCGGAACATTCCCCGGCTTGATTTTCTGAAAAGAACGTTTCGTTTTGGCTCTGTCCTCTTTCCATGGCTCTTTCCTAAAACCTAGTTAGCAATGATTTTCGTTTTGGAGGCGTCGGTCGGGTCGGTGTCGGTGAGAGTTCCTCGTTCATTTGCCTTCGAATTGATCACTGATACCTTTTTTTTCAAAACAGATTATCTACACATATATCAAACCCGCTTTGACTGTTTGTCTCGGGCCCACTACGAATATGAAATGGAAACGATGCCTCACCAATCACCTCTTCAAATCAACCCTAAGTTAAGACAGTCGGTCTAGAAACGTTTGTAATTGAAAATATTTCGCCATCGACAGGGCACTACAAGGCTGGTCCCATATTTCAAAGTCATGCCACCACCACGCGGAGATGTCGCTTTTTCTGCCCTCTCAGCCCTAGACGCAAGGAGAAGGAGTTTTGTGTCGACTACGGCACAAGGACAAAATCCAAAACATCTGCAAGGCCGCGTGAAACTCTCCAGAACTCAGGCCGTGATCGACATCCTACTTTAAATTAAATTATCCGAGAAGAATTTCAAATTAGGTCTGATATGTAGACACATTTAGTACAGAACCATGGTATCAGATCTGCATATCCGCCCCCGCCCAGTGGGTGACGAGTGCTATTCTATGATGGTCTATCACATTGGCCTGGATCCCCCTCCACCACCACCACCATCACTACCACTAGCACCATTGCCCCTAACACCCGGGATGCCGGATCGTAATGTCAACTATCCAGATTTTATCCTGCAAGAAAAGATGATCTCCGTTCCACTTTCCTATCAATCCAATGAGGGTTCATTCTATGATTAAGACACTACTATATCTGCCCTACGTTGTTTGGCTTTGACCCCCCCCCCCCCCCCGGGGAACGTATGGCTCCCTCCTTCCGTCTCCAGACGGGAAGGTGGTTGTTATCGCGCTACCAGATATACCTCGAAACGAAGGCAGAAAAACGATGCATGTTTTAATTGATTTAATGCTGACCTGCAGTCTGTCATCTTATCCTGAGGCCCTATGTTTCTGGATTAAGCCGTTGTTGAAGTGAGTATGTATCTAGGATACATGTGGAACTTGGATATATAGGATCCACATGTATACTATACTTATCCCTCGAAAGTGAGTAGGTACATGTAGATATGTACGCACTAGTATACATATACATGTATTATCCATGGACACGGCAGCCGTCTATCTAATAAGACCGACTTGTATTTATTAAACCTCATGTTTATAATTTGACGAACACTCCATCGTACTGGCTAGGGCGTTTCATTGGTTCTCAGACATGCTTTGTAAATCCGATTGATAAAGAAATTTATATATTCTGTTTTGACCCATCTATTATTATAATTATTAAAAAGATAGAGTCCACATCTGTATGTTTTAGCCTGAACGCTGCTGGTCGAAACGTTTCTTGCGGGCGGACGATGCAGCACGTGCGGTTTCACTAATGCGACGATCTTCATGCCCAACTGAAGGAGACAGGCATACGCATAACATCTGCAGCTCCTGCATATATCACCAGAGTAATAGTAATGGACCATGTACATGTATTTGTTTACACATCGGCGGTTTACCTAATGATGGGGCGAGATGAGAGAGTATAATAGAACGAGATGGTAATATTTCCCTGGTCTAGAAACCTGTCATGAAGCTAGCCAACTATACTATGTCTCTGGCAAGACATGAAAGCGCATACCTCACCATAGGCTGGTTGCTGCTGTTCATGTTCGTTATTTTGAATAGACCTAGACTAGGGATGGATGTGTAGGTACTCTATGTAGAGTATGTATGTATGCCATGGTATATACATGTATCTCTCCAGATCCGAGATTTTCGCACCTAATAGGTTCTCGAGTGTACCCGTTAAAGGCTAATTATAAAAGTTCACAAAATACACTACTGTACGTACTCTCCACACCACACTAGAGTACCAGGCAAGTACGTCTCCTCAGGTTGTCTGGGACTGAGACTTTGACTGCCTACCTACTCCAGAGTTATGTACTGAGTCTGCCTACTCCTGTAAAGCATGCCCCATCTGCATCGCTGGTCGATTAATTGCTACTCTAAACGGAGTACCGGGGGGTGAGAGGCAGACTAGCAGGAATAATATCTCACAAAAAAAAAGAAGGTCAACCCAGGACGACAGTAAGTTGGTCGGTACATTACATACCAATAAAGCACACGAGAGATGTGACAAGCTGTGTGCACGAACGATCGAGATCGTGGAGTGAGTTTGAATTCGAAAAGGATGGTCATCCGAGGGATTTTCGCCGCCTCAGCCTGCAGATAGAGAACAGAAACGAATATTTCGATGCGAACTAGAGTTAAAATAAAATGTATGTGTGTAGTGGTCTAGGCGAGAACGAGGCAGAGGGAAAGAGAGGCGCACACAGCAGCACGACACATGGAATATTCTACATATGTATGTAGAGTACATGAACCTAGAGTCGCTGTAGCTGTTGTTGCAATGCTGGATGCTGTTACAGGACTACATACCGCTTCTGCGAACTGCTACTCCACGTATTGCTATCCAGTTGTACAATTTACAATGCAATTTAGGGATGCCCATGCCTGTAACCATCCTGTATCCTTTGTTCTCTCATGCTCAAACACCTCCCCCCCCCCCCCCCCACCTAAACCCCGGCCCCGCCTCAACAACATCAACCCCCCCCCCCACCTGCTTACTGCCTACTTAAGCGCTCGGGCCAACATTGTCAATCACAGCAATCAATAGGTACCAGATATCTACATACACACTGTATCTATCTACATAACCTATCTATCTATCTATCGTATCGTATCGTATCGTATCGTATCTAATGTGCGCAAGCCAGCCTTGCTTCCTTACCTCGCCCATAGCAAGCTCCAAATTAAACCAGATGCGAGGACCATCGTCGACCTGAATCGGAGGGACAAAAGTGTCGGATTGCAATTGCAGCAGCGCAGCCATCAAAGATATGTGCCCGCCTAGCTTACCTCCCCTCCCTCTCTTCTCCCTCCCCCAGGTTGTGCGACTCATCACCTCAAAAAATTCCGACGAGAAGGAAACGAGGGAAAATCCCAGGGATGCTGTCGAAGCCTTGATCTGGTGGTATGCGTGTGCGTGGGAGTGTGTGTGAGTGGATGTGTGTGGACTCTATGCAAATAATCTCGAGAAGCAGCGGCAGCCAAAATAAATATATTCTACCACCACTACATACCGATATATACACACCGCGGCCACCGCCGTCGCATCTATAATTTTTTTGCCTTGTGGGCATGAATCCTATGAAACAAACTGATAAGCGGGTTTCGAGTAGGCGAAAAGATCTCTCGCCAATCGTGAATCATTCATTATCCGCCGATTAATCTGCACGGATCAGAGCGTTGTCACTGCACAAGCGCAAACGCAACCCAGAAGCGAGACAGCCAAAAAAAAAAAAAAAAAGGAGGAATCTCGGGCTTGGCCAATTGGTCCAGAGTTCTCGAGGAGCAGAATGGCAGCATGTCACAATTCAATTGAATGTTCCCCCACCCACCCAGCAACAGCAAACCCCCCTTCCAAACAATATCCTGGTATCATGATCTGTTCTTTTTATCGTTACCGCTTTAGACATAGATCTACTACGGCCTGAAATGATTGCACATCTCGCATTCGGGCTCCGGAAGTCATATATATCTACTCACGTTTGAGTTAACCCATTCTACATATGATGAGATATGGAATGCATGACAATCGGAGCCGCATAAACAAGCCATTTCAATTACTATTTTTATCCTGATTCTCCCTCTCCAT